TTTTTAATTTCATTTACATATTACATAGGAAATTTTAAAGAATGTTACAACAACTTACAGTACAAACTATTTCTATTTATCATAGACAAATACAATATGTTTACAATTTGTATATAATATACAAAGTTCATTTAGCAATTACATTGATATAAGACATAATGGAGCAATCAATAATTCTTTTCTAGAAGCATTTTCACATTCTTCCACTTGGCTGAAAGAACTTAGAAATATAACCTCCAGTTTTAGAAGGACGTGAGATTAACTATAAAACATTGGTTGATTTATTTCTCACACAGACTACATCTTGAAAAATCAAATTGACATGTTGCATTTAAAAACTATGAAATTTCTGATATGTGGTATGGTAAATAGTAATGGGTAGTTTCCTGAATCTTTTACACTAACAAGTAAGAATGCAAAACAATAATCTTAAATTTCCTATAAGTTCATATAGTCTGGAGTTTAATTACTAAATTTTTAAGTAAAATGTTGAACTTCATATTTAGTAATGCTCACTCAAACAATTGAAATTTAAGAGAGAGAAATTTATCATTTCTGTTTATCTTTTAGCTAATTTTAATCAACCTAACTAGGAGTGTGACATGAAAATATGATTGATAGTAAAAAGGACATTATGCAGATTGAAGAAATTAGTTTTTCTTCAATCTGCATAACCTTAGACTAAATGGTACTACCCTAATAATTGAATATACATTATAAATAAAACAAAGAAAATAGAGACCAGAATACTTATTCTGAGTTGTATCATTAAGCTAACGAATATGATAAAACCAGTTTCTGTCGGAACCACATGATTGGCATTTAATCAGCTGTGAAAGTGCTATTCTGTGCCGTATGTTTTATTTTTGGTTCCTCTAGCCATGTGTGATAGCTTTTCCTATCAATTATTCTCAAACTATTCTACAAACAGCTTGAGAAGACACTCAGACTTGCAAAGAGTCTGAGTGTTTTCTCATCAAAATAATAATGGAAGAATTCAATGCCAAAGTTAGAAATGGCAGAGTTACTACTGACAGTAGGTGACTATGGACTAGGCGAAAGAAATGAACATGGAGATATGCTTGTTGAATTTGCAGAACACCATGACCTATGTATCACAAACACATGGTTCAAACAACATCCACGAAGACTGTACACATGGAAAAGTCCTCAAGACAGAGAAAACAGAATAGTACGAAATCAAATAGATTTCATCCTGATCAACAAATGATACAGAAACTCAATTCTCAATGTTAAAACAAGGCCTTCAGATGACTGCTACACTGGTCATAATTTACTCCATGCCAGATGTGCCATTCATTAAAGAAAATTACAAAAAAATGTCAAGAAGTTACATTACAACCTTGACAAACTGAAAATATGCGAGATCAGGCAACATTTCAGTGAGGCGGTTACAAAAGAAATTCAAGATAAAGACATACCCTCTATAGAGAAACACTGGGAAAACATAAAAAGTGCAATGAAGATTGCTGCCTGTACCCTATTTAACAAAAAAGGAAAAAGAGCGGAAGAACCCTTGGATCCTAGAGAACATTTTGACACTGATGGGTAAGTGCAGAAAGTTTAAGAACCGAAACCCTGGACAATACAAAAAAACTTCATCAAATGATCAAGTAGGGATGTGCGAAAGCTAAAGAAAAGTGGTTCAAAGAGAAATGTGAAAGAATAGAGGAGCACGAGAAAAAGCACCATACCAGAGAAGTCCATAGAATCATCAAAGAAACCATGAAGGAACTGAAGAAAACAAAGAAGGAAGTAACAAATTTAATAGACCAACAGAACAAAATGAAATGTGGAAAAGAAGAAAGAGTTAAAACTTGGGCAGAATACATCAAAATTTTGTTTGGGGATCATGACAGACATCCCCAGGTTCATTCAAGAGAAGGAGATACTGCCCCTCCTATTATACTAAGAGAATTAGAATGTGCCATGGGCTCCATGAGATGTGGAAAAACTCCTGGTGAAGATGACATCCCAGCTGAGCTCCTAAAATTTTGGACACATTTGCAAAACTATCTATTGCTACTAGATCTTTTTAATAAAATCTACAAAGATGGACAGCTACCACACGACTTCAAAAGATCCATTTTCATTCCAATCCCAAAGAGGCATAATGCCAAGCGATGTGATCAATTCTGAACCATAAGTCTAATGAGCCCTAGCCTAAAACTCTTACTAAAAATTATAGGATATCAAGTAAGAAACAAAACAAAAGCTCAGTTAGGACCATTGCAATTTGGGTTTAGGCCTGGAATGGGCACTGTTTGCTGTGAGAATTTTATCGGAAAGAGCCATAGAAATGCAAAGGAAAATACATTTCTTTCTTCAACTTTGAAAAAGCTTTTGACAAAGTACAACACCCACTTTTAATGGAAACATTAAAGAGAGTCAATCTGGACACAAATGACTATAAACTGATTGGCAACCTGTACTGGCACCAGACTGCCACAGTTAGGCTGGACGACATAGAAACAGCACCATGCCAGATAGAAAAAAGAGTTAGACAGGGATGTGTATTATCACCCATACTTTTTAATGTCTTCTCCGAACAGATAACACTGGAATGTTTCTGCAGGGATTTGGGAATCAAGGTCGGAGGAGTGAATATCAATAACATCTGGTACGCCGACGATTTTGCATGCATTGCCACATCCGCGACGGAGTTCCAACAGATATGAGGGCTATTTTTTAAATAAGGTCCGTTTTATAATAAGAAGAAAAATACTGTAAATTTAATCATTAAAATATATTTTTTCCCATATTCTACATACTTTTATCTACTTTTCTACATAATTTCCATTTTTGTTCAAACATTTGTCATACCACTCAAAAATTTTTTAAATTCCGATTTCAAAGAAATATGCCACCTGCCACTGGAAGACATTAGTCCACGACGCTTGTCTTGTATGGCACGACGGAGTTTTCTAAGGTTACACAATAAGCATCAGAATTGATTGTTGTGCCTCTTGGCATAAAATCCACTAACAAAGTTCCTTTCCTATCCCAAAAGACAGTTACCGTGATCTTTCATGCTGAAATCAAGTAACAGATCATATCTTACAATAGGCGGGTGACTCAATTTTCTTAAACATTATAAACTTCTACAGTTCAGCACGCAGACAGACGATATGGCTGCAAATGGCATCTAAACACATGCAAAGCATGCTGAAAGCAGATGCTCATGCACACTGCTGCAATCGCATGTTATTCTCACTCTCATTCACAAATGGTCCTTATTTAAAAAATAGCCCTCGTATATGTATTATGAATATAGGAAAAATACACACCATTAACAATAAATCAATATTTTCAATCAGATTAGTAGGCCATCATCAGGCTTCAAAAATAAGAAAACATCTGACTTGTTTTTGAAGTTTGACAATGATTTGTCAATCAGATTAATATTGTTTGCAATTAAACATGTTCACTGTAAATAGTGTACATTTTTTCTATATTTACATCAGGCTATAATAATGAAACAAATAACTAAATTTCAAGTAACTTGGCCTAGAGGCAGGTGTTAGACACCATCTCAATAAATTTAATAATTACAATTAAATTTATAGTGTAGTTCCTCACATGAACAAAATAGGAATAAAACTGTATATAAACTTTTGATTTATTGTAAATTATTTTTTTGTTTTGTTTTTGTATTTGGTTTGCTGGAATT